TTCCGCATAGCGTTTGTAAAGCGGCGCCGGATAGTGTCGGCAGAAAGCATCGTTTACAATGCAAAAGCGTAGATTTGCTTACTGTGGATGTTTAGCATATCACTACAATGGGGATAATAAAAAGTACAAGTAAATGAATAGGGAAAGTCTTCTCTTTTAACAACCAGATAGCTGACCTGAAAACTGCTCGTGGCCCAGTAATGCAAAGGTCCAGAACATAGAAGCTGACGAAATTTTTTTTTCAGCCAGGACAAATCTCCACATTGAACTGCATTCGTGCTCTCTCAATGATTTGGATAATAATCGCTCATACATTTGTTATAAATCTGGCAGTTGTCGGTAAGAAATGGGGGAGATTTTTTCTATACTTTTAGAGATCTTTTATCGCCTAGAAATTTTCGTTTAGACAACCCGATGGATATGCTAGAAATTGGTAAAACCTACTATGGGCAAATATTTACAAACGCTTACATTTCCGTTGACTCATTCTTTTTCATAGCAGGAGTGTTGGTCGCGTTTCTCAAACTAAAAGTAAGATCAGCTAAACTAATTCATGAATTTGCGGTGTCAAATTCTGTTTAGGAAATAAAAGCAGACCGCAAAAGACTTTCCATTTATTCTTGGCTGATGTTTTATGTGCAGAGAATTCTTCGGTGAGTATCTGCACCTAAAATCTTCCTGAGCATCTATCAAAACCAAACTAGAGGAATATATTTCTAAACCAATATATTTGAGGATATCTCCTGCCTATTACACGTTGATAGTCTTCCATAGCTTCATTTTCACATCGTGGTTGTACAACATGCCTATACTACTGAGCCGTGGCTTTGGTGAAGACAGTTGTAGGAAAAATTGGTGGATTAACTTTCTCTACCTCAATAACTTCATTGATTACAAAAGCATGGTAAGGGAATTCTCATACAACTAAATTATCTCAGTACTCAGTTCATTCAACAATCAGCAGAACTTTATTTTTCAAATGCACATAATTTCAGTGTCTTGTGCCATCTTGGTATTTGGCGACGGACTTTCAGATTTACATATTCTCACCATTATTAATATTGCCATTTGCTCTTTTTGGAAGTCTCGCCGGATTGATTGTGGCTTGCACTCTTTTGGTAATTTCTTCAGGTACGATTTGCTATTTTTAAATAGCCAGGGAACTATACTTTCTTAAAGTTTGCATTTAGAAAATTTAACTAGATTGTTTGGTAAGAGGCCAACTTAGTTAAAATAGAATTTTTTAGATACAGTTCATGGTTCCACCTGAATTTTTCATAGAGAGCTAACGTCATCTAGCATACTCTCACATAGATTGACTACAAGCAAAAAATTAAGAATCCTACTTTAAAACTTTTCCTTTCGCACTTTCCAATGTAGCTTCAAGTCGCTGAGTGGGGCACTCTAACTAGGGCAATGAGCAGGAGTACTACTTTAAATGCTAGGATTAAGAAACATGAGGAAGGTATGTACTGGATTTCTAAGGAATAATTCAGTTGACTGACGCAAGGGAAACAAAGAACTTCCTCATAAGGCAGTTTTGTATAATGATATATATCAAAAAGTTAACAAACAATCGAATTTTCTAGAGCCAACAATAATGAAAGCATTTGACTCTACAAAGCTACATAAAGAACAGCTAGGAAAAAGGTTTAATACTCGCCTCAAATTGAGTATCTGCGGAGGCTTAGGGATCTCGTGGTCCTGCCGCCTATCTACTCGAAGGGATGTCGACCTCATCCAACAGTAACCTGAAATCTGAATTCACTCCTACTTGCACTTAATCGC